AATGAATATTATCATAAATAAATAAATAAATAAATGAAAAAGATGATAATCATATATAATAAAAAACAAATGTTTGCGATTTACTCAATAATTTAAAAGGAGAAATAAAGTAAAAATTAGTCTAGTCTAAATGTGTGATAACAAAACTTTTTGATTATATAATATATGATCTAATAAATTAAAAAAATATACCTCTCTGAAAATGAGGAAGAAGAGTAAGAAGATAAAGATGATGTATAATCAAATCAACAATTAGGATTATTTTAGTCTTTATATCAAAAGTATAAAGATTATAAAAATAATGACGAATGGAAAATTAAATAGGGTCTAGTTTTATCTATAATTTAGATTTCATCGAATTGCTTCACAAATAGAATTATCTAATTTTGTTAATAAATTCTAATTGAATTATGGGCTTTAGAAAAAGATTAAAGAGTTAGAAATTTATTAAAAAATGAAACCTTAATACATTTGTCAATGTAAATTTTGTAGAAAGATTGGTAGACTCAAAACAATAGAATCGCAGGAGAAATGTAATAAATGCTGAGTCGAATCGATTTTTTGTAAGAATAAATTGCCCAAGAAGCAAATGCGAATAAACGAGAGATATAATTGAAAGAAATGGATGAAACAACTGAGCAATTAGATGAATAAATTGAAAATATCAGTGAAATGGGATAATAGCTTAAATTGATAACAGACTTCGTTAATCATATCAGAAAAGGTTTGACAAGAGTCGAGAGAAAAATAAATAAGATGAAGAAATAACTAAAGAGCTTGAGTAATGACATAAAATTTCTGAGAGGAAAATCTGTTGAAGAACTTTTTGATATTAGAAAATCCAAAGTATTGAAAGAAGCAGCAAATAAAAATGTTAGGTCTATATATGTGCCATTATAAACATTGGAGATATTTCATAAATTAGATAAAGTGGAAAAGAATGAATAAAAGAGTATTTTGATGAATTTGGATAATTTATATGATAAAGAAGGGGAAGTGAATGAGTTTTTATTACATGATAAACACACAGTATTATTAATTCATGGCTGAGCTGGATCGGGCAAAAGTACTGCAGCTAAGAAAATTGAAGAATTTATTTGGAAATTATATGACAATAATAAAAAAATCTGGAATAAACTGTTAATACAAATTTATATTTCATTACCCTCTTTAAAAAATCCTGTGTTTTAAGCAGTAGAGGAAGCACTCCATCAAGATTAGTATGGTTTTGATCTGCTATAATTGAAAGAATGTAAAGAGATGTTAGAAAAGAAAGATTTCCGATTTCTATTGATAATGGACAGTTATGATGAGATGAAGTTAGAAAATATTTAGAAAAATTTATATATTAATAATAAACTGTAATAGAATTGGTCAAACCTGTTATTTTTACTACAAGAAGTGAAATTTTTACAAGTAGTAATTATTCTCTATGGTTTTAACCTGAAGAGAAGGAAAAGTTAAACGAAATCAAACTTCTAAAGTTTGATTCTAATTAAATGCAATAATATCTAGAAAAATTTACAATTTAAAGTGTTAAAATGTAGATTTTTGAAATTTATGAATGGTAAACTCAAATTTAAAAAAGAGGAGTGATTGATATCAAAAAGTTTGAAATTTTTTGGGAAAAATTGTAATAATTTCTAAAAAAAGAAATATCAGAAATAGGAGAATCTATTGAATTAAAAATAAATAGATCATATTTAATAGTTTTTGAAGAATGATGAGTTTATATCTCTAAAAAATCATGATGATTTAAGAAGTCTGGGTATAAATCTCCAAAAACTGTGGAGTGTAGAAAAGTACAACAAAATGATAAGGTAGATCAATTTATATAAATTTGTAATAACTCCTTATATGATGGAAATAGTAGTTTAAGTGTTGCCTGAAATGCTTGTTAAAGCAATCGAGATTAATAATTTGAAATAAAATTTTATAAAGAATTTTCCAAATATGCTTAATGAGTTCTACAAAAGTAAATAGTTGATCCAAATGTACCAATAACAATAGAAAAACCTTATGGTATCATACAATGGAGATGAAAATTCTTAGAAAGTTGTTTACGATAAAAAATTTGAAGCTACATTGTTTGATATCGAAAATTTAGAAAAACTAAACTATCAAGAAATTGCTTTCAAATTTTGGGATAAAATGGAAGAAAATTCAACTCTAATAAAAGTCCAGATTTCTTATGAAAATATTGGATTAAAGACTTAACTATTGAAGATATTATAACAACACCTTTTGGAATTAGAGTATTTATTAGATGAACTTGCAATTCTAAACTAAAAAAATAAAGAAGCTGCTATTGAAATAATTATTGATGCTTTAAAAGATTTAAGTCTTACAAGTTATGATTTTTATAATGAGTTTATAAATTAACATCATTTAAAATAAATAGAAAAATAGAAAAAATTAGGAAAATCTATTAATATTGATCGTTTTCTACATGATATAAAAAAATATTCAACTAACCTTGTTAAAGCAATGAGCATGAATTAAATGACTTAAATTTAATATGAATAATAAGGATTATTGTATAAAGTAGAAAGAAAAAATGAAAAATGTCTCAATGATTTTTTTAATGATGATGATTAATTTGGATCTTATAGAAATGATATAAGAAGTTGTTCTCTAGTTTAATCAAATGGTGCTAATTTTTAATTTGTCCATAAATCAATATAAGAGTTCTTGATTGCAGCTGATTTCTATGAGGTTTTAGTTCAATCAAAATATTTTGATACATAGATATTGAATAGCATAATTGAAATAGTGTCAAAAGAAAATAATCAAAATTTGGATTGCTTAAAGTATCTAGAAAATATTGTTCATTAAATTCTCAATCTTTCACTTTTGGATAAACAAACTATTAAATCAATTATTCTTTTGATAAGAACCATAAAAGAACATTATTTTAATTTTGTTCATTACTCTACTGAAATCTATGCTGGAACAAGATAATATCTCATTTAAAAATATAACAGGAGGTTAAAATAACAGAATTATTGAAATTTTTAGTTCATATCACAACAATAGATAAAAGTTTTATAATTAGTGGATCGAATGCACTTAATATATTGGTTGAAATGAAGGTGAATCTTACAAACTAAAATTTTGAAAATATAAGTATTTAAAATACTTCATTATTTAGAGGTAATTTTGCAAAATGCAATTTAACAAGATCCAAATTAAAAAATGTAAATATCAATAGAATCAATTTAAGTGGAGCCTAATTGCTTGACTGTAAATGGAAATAATTAAAAATAAACGATTTATTTTAATTAGATGGTCATGATGGTGCCACCTCAGTTTGTTTCTCTCCTGATGGAAATACATTAGCTTCTGGTAGTGGTGATTAGTCTATCCGTCTATGGGATGTCAAAACAGGATAATAAAAAGCCAAATTAGATGGTCATA